TCTGTGTAAGTTGAGTATTTATAGCCTCGTTAAGTTCTAAGTGTCGGTATTAACAATAATAGCTCCGCTTATCCTTTTAATCCCAAACTTAGAATTCTGAACCTAGCCATTTTTCTAAGATTTATCATATTTTTATTATAATTTTTGCAGCACTTTGCCGGTACGCGCTTTTACGTAGCCGGTATCAGTCCTGACGTCAGTTCTCATTATTTTGACTCCAAACTTGTTATACCAGTCCTAAATATTATTCTAGTGATATATACATACTTTTCATAATTTTTCGGGATACTTCATCGGTGCTCACTTATACCGAGAAGCAGAATCGGTATCTGCACTTTTTGTCAGAAAAGTGACTTTCAACATTATTAATCACTTACTATAATTATTTAAGCTCTCTCATAATTATTCAAAGTTAATTATGGAATTTATCTCATAATTATTAATCACTTACTATCAATTTAATTAATTAAACTCTTAATTTAACGGTGCGGGTTCTTACAGAGGGGGACTCGTTGAATCTGACCTCTCAGTCATTCTAAAAAAGATAGTATAGGGTTGCTCTTCATTAGATATTTTCTTCAACAAACCAGTTACAAAATATTTCCCTTTGATGAACTAGAAAGATTCAGAAAAAACCAAAAGAAGGAAGAACCAGTGTGATAAGGAGAAGAGAAGATGAAAACACATACCTGGAATTTATATGCGGGTTGGAATACTTCTTGAAAAATGCCAAAGTAGGATGTGTCGATGAAGGAGATTTGGAGTCTAAAGGAGGATGCATGGCACTTTGTTGAAACCGGAAGAAAGTTCTTGCTCAAAGAGTTTTCCTCCACGAATGAAAAGAGGTACAAATATGAAAAATATAACACCTCGTATTTCTAAATGTATAATTATATGTGAAAATATGGATTAAAGGCTTAGGATTAGTGAAAATCCCGAAATTAGGGCCAAAATACGTAAAAAAAAGGCAAAATGGTAATTTACCAAACACGTAACCCGAGACAAAAAAAATTTAGTAGAAGGTCTCAAATGGTAAAAATAATGCCGGAAATGGATTAAAAACGAAAAATTGAGTCGATAGGCGAGTTTCGGAAAATTTGATGAATAGTGATTTTATCGGTGTAAAATCCTACGGTATAATTGTACGATAAGTGCGAAAATATGACCAGTATTTCTAGAAAGTAAAAATATGACGTGAACGAGAAAAATACGTAGGTTATGAATTTGTAGGTTAAAATGGATGATTTAAGAAAGTTAAATGACATGTGGGACCCACTTAAGTGATTTAAGTGAGCAAGTGGCCAATTACCCACTCAAAATCAGATTCTCTCTCTTCCCTCATTTCTTCAACCCGTGGCTTTTCCATTGGAGAGCAAAGTTGGAGCTCAAACCTTCAATTAACCAAAACTCACTCAATACTCACTCAAGTGTAAAACATCAAAGTTGTTCCAAATCATCTTGTGAACATCTTTCCTTCCTTGAGTGAGCCATGAAATTGAGTGTACAAGGAGATCATTTCCCTACTTGTGGTGGCATTTTTGGTGATTTTGGTGGTGATTGGTGGCGGTTTTGGACCGTTCAAGTGTTGAAACTTGTTCTTGGGTTGCCTTGGAGTTGCTTAGTGGTAAGCTTTGTTCTCCAATCTTTGATTTTGAATTGGACTGAATATATGACCTAGGGTATGCTTGATTGGGTTGATATAGTTAGAGAGCTCAAATCGAAAATGTGTATTAGATAAAAATGGCTTAGAATGATGTGTTAGAGTGATTAAGATTATAAAAATTATTGGTGAAATTGTTAAAAAACTTAGGAAATTTTGAAGTGTGATGCATGAGTTCATGAAATTGCCATGTGGTAGGATTGTGTAAATTGAGTTGTGAAGTAATTGTATGAGTAGATTATAAGTTGTATGAGGTGCTTGAAGGATAGAATTGGATTGAATACCCCTAGGTTGATGGCATGAGAAATTCGACCTATTGAGGTCATGAATGGTTTGGTGAAGTAAAAATGGTATAATTGATGTTATACGTTTGTGGATGGTGTTTATATGAATGGTAGGTTGGTGTGATGTTGAGGAATGGAAGGAAGAATTTGGTATGTATATGTAGGTGTGGGAATTTGACCTATAGGAATGATTAAGGAAAAATAAATGTGAAATAGCCATTTGGCCTAAGTGAATAGGTTTGGGAATTAGTATGTTGAAATTGAATTGATTTCATTGAAATCGTATTAATGATCATTGTTGTTTGATCGTTATAGGTTGCCTCTCACGGACACAATAGAAACGGATTAAGCTTGGAGCTTTCATGGAAGAGCATTGTCTTCGGAGTTAAGGTAAACTCTTGGTACTTGGGTTTTATCCCTTGTGTGTTCCGCCACACCTAGTGGAAGGTCGTGGTTGAATTTTGTGCTCTTTGACATTGTGTGAAATTGTATCTTCATGCATTGTTGCTTGATTGTGTGACATATCTGTGATCTCTGGCCAGTAGATGTATGTGGTTTGGACTTCCGCTGGAGATGTCCCTTTGGGGGATTCCGGTCGAGTTTTGTCGTTGGGCCGTCTCTAGGAGCGATACCAAGATGATCCAAACATGGGACTTCTGCTAGATAAGGCTCATGAGGAGTTCCAGTTGGGTTTTGCCATGGGGTCGTCTCATCTATGGGAGAGGCACTAGGAAGCTTCCCGGGAGTTATATGACCTGATTCTTGAACGGAATCCATGTGTGGATATTCTTGGATGTGAGCCCAGTGTTGTGTGATATTGTATGTTATGCATTTTATATGATGATCATTGTATGCGCATTGAGTGAGCCATGGGGTGGAGTGATCCTCCAGTACCCTTGGTTTACTGAGATATATTTGTATATCTCACCCCGCGTTTGGGAACATCATTTCAGGTTATAGTGAGCATGGAGGACCTTCGAGCAAGAGGCCCGCTTAGTGGAGGAGTGGAGCATGATGTGCATATAGAGAGCATAGCATTTTGGAGGAGTATATTTGATGCACATAGCATTACATTTAGCATTTTGGACTTAGATCATGAACATATTGCATGTTGAAATTTCCATGCTTTTGTGGTGTTCATGACTGGATTCTAAGTTTATGTAGTTGGTGTATATTTATGCCTATTGTTTACATTGACCTTTTGGTGAGCATGGGACTTGTCCATGGCCACACATTATGTTTTGAGGCATTTATAGATTTAATGTTGTAAATGAGCCATATTATGTGTAAATGGCAAGACAAATGGTGATTGATGTAAAGGATACATTGGTATTAGATTATGCATGATGGAAGGGCCTAGTGCTTTCATTAGTCCTTGTACAAGTTGTAAATTTAGTATCAAAGTGTAGGAGTAGAAAACATGATCCATTTTGTAATTAAAAAGCTGCCAGCTACCATTTTTGCTGTAGGGTAATCGATTACCTCAAGTGTGTGGTAATCGATTACCTGAAACAGGGGGCGCAAAAATTGAGCCACTGTGATCTGAGTAATTGATTACTTTTGCATAGGTAATCGATTACCTAGTTCAGTAATCGATTACCTATGTCCAGGTAATCGATTACTAAAAACAGGGGAGCTCAAATTGAGCTACTGCCTCATTCTGCAACTTCTGGTAATCGATTATCTTAAGAATGGTAATCGATTACCACTGTGAAAATTTTGAAAATAAGTGTTTTTATGACCTAGAGTTAATGGTATTGCCCGAAGGGATTATAATAAATAAGTTTTATGCTTCCACGAGTTTTGTATTTACAATTACGGTGTTGTTTTAATTGATTGTGAAAATGATTAATGTTTAACGATAAGTATTTAATAAAAGAAAAAGTTTACCCGTAATTTAATTAACTCCATTATTGTGATTGTAACTGCGCTTAATATCATATTCAATGATAACATTTTCGGTACGTAACAGGTTGTTACAAAAAATCACTTAGGGGTATTTGAGTAAAAGCGCTATGTGAAAAACGGTAAAAGTGAGGCATGTGTGGAGATGGTGAACGGGTTAAACTTAAAACCACCCCACCATGGCATCCTTAACCTCCACGTAATTGAAGTCACATTTAATGCTTCTGACAGTTAGGGTCACCTGTTCTTAAGCGATTGGCTAATGATGGTACTTAAAGTAAAGAAGATTAGCAAAGTGCAAGTGAAAAATCATATAATAATTGTGCATTACAGAAGAAATCAAGAGACATACTCTTAATTGGTCCGAAACATCTCACAACTCATGCTTGCAAACATAAGGCGCGAGTTGGGGGGCTACTGATCAGGATAAAATATAGGCCCAATAGTTAGAGGTCCATAAGGGACCCAAAGGTGGTGGGCGCAATGTCTTCATTGCGCGAACTACCCTTATTGCGCAAGCTATCATTCTAAGTTGCAAGGCAAAACTTAAGGACTAAGAAAGGACATAGAGATTTAATAAGGTCCATCGCGAATGAGAACCAATGTAATGAGACAGCTCCAACTTGCTACCACTCTACGGAAACAGACTAGCATCTAGACTTGTTCATCAAGGAATAGCCTGCAGGGTAATAACTGTGACAAAAGGACAGCCACCCTAAATTACCAATAAGAAGAGATGTCACCTACAAAGGACGGTACAAAGTACACTATAAATACAGAGGGAACAATCCCAGGTACAGATATCTCTTAGTTAAACTATATACACGTCGCATTAATACTGACTTGAGTATCAGAGTGTCTTTGCAGATATCCTGCCCAATCACTTCCATTGCGCCATAGTCACAACACAAACAAATCAAGGAGAAGCCCATTACACCATAGTACTAGACTAACTTGCTACAATTTTGAGTCCCACAACCTTCAGCTTTCAACCATGTGTGATTTGATTCATCCTATCTTGAACCGGTCAAATGAGTTTGTTTTGACTTAGTTATACACAGTGAATATGTATTATCATTATATTTTTATCATAACTAATTTAACAGATGAAACTTTTAAGCGAACATTCATTTATCTTGAAAAAATTGAAAACAGGTACAATTGTTTCAATATAATATGATCGATCATAAACAATTACACAATAAAAGAGCAAATGTGTGAATGACAAGACACTAGAGACTTATTTTTAAGATATAAACCATGTTTTGATTGAACTTCGAACACATATATTTTACTCGGCATCTGCTCCCTCTATCTTCTGTTGTGGGCCCCTACTGTATCAAACAAATGAGTAATGTCAGAACATCTCTGTATCCTCTATTTTTAACAGTTTTAATTATATATTATAAATAATATATAATTATATTTTTAAAATTATATTTTTTTTTTCAGAAGTTGTGTGCTGATGTGAAAAGTGAAAAAGTGAAAAACATATATTAATATTATAACTGCTAAAAAAAATACAACTTTATATTCTTTAAAAGGAGATACAGTAAATCCTAATAAAAATAGTGTGTAAATGGAAAAATAAGATAAAGTTAGTAATCTTGCTTGGGCAATTTTCATATCTATAAAATGGGATTAGTGGTTCTTATAATGTAAGAGATCATTTTATATCTTATAGACACGTAAAAGTGTGTGAGCTTCGCGTAATATAAAAAACGTTAACCCCATAAAAAAATATACACAACATATACAAATTTTATATTTATAACTGCACATATCTAATATTAAGTGAACGCATTAAACTTTTTTCATAAGTAATATGTTATTTATATAATTGTGTACAATTATGAATGTAAGAATTGTAAACTGACATAGCTAAAATACCAAAAGAATATAAGTTTTTATTTTTTATTACACATTAAAGAAGAAAGATGACAAAGAAGTGGTTAAGTATAAACTTTTTTTTTTTTGGAAGTTGGTTAAGTATAAACTTTATATACATATAAAAGTATTAGTTTGTTTATGTATTAAATTTAAATCAAGATCATTAAAAATGTCTAGCATATTATAATCTCCTACAAATTACTAAAATTTCTCGCCATTGCCCTATTCATAATGGATGGCTCTTTAACGTACAATTCGTTAACTCTATGTATGAATATATGTAAGCCGTATATTGATATTCAGTTAGTGATGAAGGATTTAATTAAATTTTTGAGTGTTATAAAGTTACTGATCATTGATTCGGTCAAAATGTCAAATTAATAAATTATTGATTGAATCAGTGGATCATCAATTCAACTATTTGAATTAAATATATATAATATAATAAAGGAAAAAGTGTTTCTCATTTTAATTAACATAACACTCTGTCCTTTTAAGAGAGAGATAGACACAGAAAAAAAATTATTTAAATTTTAAATTAAAAAAAACCATCCACTTTCTCTCCCATGATTTTCATTTTTTTGTGTCTATCTCTCTCCTAAAATAACATAACTTATGTCATTTAAAATGACAAACACTAAATCCATAATAAAATAAATATAAAATTTAAAGTATATCCAACAAATAGAGTTAGTTTAGTGATAAGTGTTATACATTACAATTCACATGGTCTAGTTTTGAACCACAATAATAATACTTTTAAAGTATTTTGTCCAAAATTTCATAAAATCAAATATTTTTTAAAAAACAGTGCCGGTTTAATTTTGATTAAACCTAATTTAAAATCGGTTCATCAATTTCATATCAGGTCATGACTGGTCCAATATCTGAAACAGACCCGTTGGGATCCGATTTGCATGTCAACCAATTAGAGCGGCCAGATCGTACGGTTTTTATAATACTGAAATTTTCTTAAATGGGTTCAAAATCAAATTCTCATAATATGATAATTAATTACCTTTGAGCTGTGAGCCACCTTGAGAGCTGATATAATTGCACAGTCTCATTGGTGACATGGCAAACAAGAAGATGTATGTTACGCGGTTGCACCACCCAAGCAAACCTCATGAACAATGCCGAATAAACACACATAACTGCACTACCCCTTATTAATTAATTACCGCAATTAATTAATATAAATTGGAAACAAAAACAATTATTCAAATTTCGAATTACTGCTACTCAAACAAGTTAATAATAATTAACCTGCGGTCATATTGACAGATATCGTTTCCGGTGGTTTCTGTGTGTCCATTGCTGCCTGATATATAGAAATTTCAGAGATTCAAATAAAATATATCACGACAAAATTGATTAAAACTAAATATTTGCTTTGGTGAGAAAGTCAAAATTAGAGAATTCCTTTTGAGGAATTATTTTCATTTTGTACTTATTTATTAATTTTAATTTATACCATGTAAATCTTATATTTATTATTACCTGTTGATTTTACTTAAATCTAATAGTTCTAATTGATTCATTAGATATAAGTGAGATCAAAAATTAATAAAAAATACAAAAAAATAATTAAATTTACATCAGTAAAAGTGGATCTGGCGATTAACTTTTAGAAACACTTTAATTTATAGTTTGCTCTTACTATAGTTTCCCACATATTGTTTTGAATATGTGGAAAATAAAAGTTAATTAAAAATAAGTGGTAGTAAATAAATAAGAGTAAACATACCAAATAGACTCAAATTTGTTTTGAACAAGTAGAAAACAATTTGCAGTCAGTAATAACATTTTATCATCCTTATTAATATAATATAGTTCCAAGTAGTAAATCTACCGCGAGAGGAAGGCTCCAGTTGAAGGTAGGACCCCAAAAATGAGTGGTTTTTGGGCCAATGGGACTGTTCCAAAACGCGCGAAGGGTGTTCATTTTGTGAGCTATTTTCAGTACTTTGCAGCCTGCAGAGTGGAGACATCAAATCTATGAGAGTTTGTTTCAGATAAACATATGGGTTACTTCATCATATATGTATAGCTAAACAGTACACTAACTGCTTTCTCTTATAATATTTTTTTTCTTTCCGAACTTCCATCTTTTTTTAACATTATTTTAGAGTATTTTTTTTATTGGGTTTAATGTGTCTAATGTTGTAAGAAATAAAATTACCTCCTACACAGATATAAAAATTTGTGGAGCTCGTGTGAAGAGACGAAAAAGAAAAAAAAAATGTACATCATACACATTTATGTATATAAAAGATAAAATTATCTCGTAAAAAATATTAAAATTTTTTTTATTTTGGAAAATATACAGGAGCATTGTCATTATACATAAACAAAAACGACAATCAAATGGACTAAACATCAAAACTTAAACAAAATTAATTATAGTTTGACTAGAAAATTCGTTACTAATTGTAAAATAATTTAGCCGCAAGTATATGGTAAGTTGTAGAGTGGGTTGAGTTTAGTAGTTGAAGCCCATTTGTAATTTCAAGGATTTGCATTTACTGAAGAATGGAGGCAGCCAAAGATTATAGGATTTATGAGAGTCAAAATGATACGTACAAAGGATATTAGAAAACCTTTTAAGAATCGAAAGAAAAAATAATTTTATATATTAAATAAGATGACTGAAATGAATTACTCCAAAAAAAAAAAAAAAAAAAATGAGTGAATCTTCATTAAAAAATTTGTACGAATGATGAAAATTTAAATATCAAACTGTATGAGCTATACGAGAAAAAAAAGGTTTTATTTTAAGTAATGTATTTTTTTCTTAAATTTTCGTTAACGTTTAATATAAATACAACTTATTTCTGATCACTGATAATATAAATCGTGAAAGCTAAATATATAAAAGTATATTTCATGTGTTATTATTTTTTTAATTGGTCTGTGAGCGCGCGCAGCACATTTTTTTAGTGGTAAAATTATGTAAAGCATGTGCAATACAGTATATGGAAAGATAAACGATCTTTGTGTGTTGTGTGTTTGATTGGAATTATTTGACAAAATTATTCTTTTTCAAGCTTTATTCTCAATTGCAATATGTCTATGCACAGTTATTGTGTTTCGTCTATTATAGTGATCAATTAATTTTTTCGGTTCATAGGCTAACACCTGATTTTGTAATGGTGTTTCTATGTTCATCTTCCCAGAGTTTTTTTTTTTTTTTTAAACAAAAACTGTTAGTAAAAATGTATCAAAAATAAAAATAAAAATAAAAACTGTTAGTAAAATACCTATTGAATATTATTATTTATTCCTTCCTATGTAGTGCTTAACTTTTTTTTCCCTTCTTGATATGTCTCCATACTATATCTTCAGAAGATATATAATTTAGG